GACCTAAGAATATTGAGTGAGATACCTGGAATCAGTAGGAGCCTCAGTATTTGAGTGATTAAAAAAAAAAAGATAAATTTGAACTATGTTTTCTTTAAGGGATGGTTGTACACTCCTTATATGTATTTTTAAAAGATAATTTGACAATGCATTAAGTTAAAAATAAGCTTCTATCCATAATACCTCTTCACAGAATAAGATAAATTCTCCTCTCTTCTAAAAGTTAAAGTGTTTCACAAACCTAACACCTAAAGAGAAAATAAGTCCTATAATAGGCCTTAAGTAATTGATAGATCAATTTGTTGTCATCAAGCAATCTTATTGAAAAATCAGACCTATCCACTGTGCAAGAAAGCCAATAAGTAAGCACTACTCTTTACCACAGCTTCTAAAACAAGAGAGAAAAAAGTAAGCAGAGATCTTTAAAAACCCAAAAGACTAACTGAAAATCCCTAAGAGAAATCAAAAAAGTGAAAGCTAAGACAAGAAAACAAAACAAATTCCTACACATTATAACACTAAACTTGCAAGGAAGGAAAAAACAAACAAACAAAAAAACAAAACAAACTTCTTGTAAGCACCTTGGGGCTTTCTTCCAATTTAGCCTTCTCACCCAAGAAGGATATAGTTGGTACACCTCTCCATTACTCTTCAGTTCCTCCTGCCCTTTACTCCCTGGAAACTTTCCACCAGTCTTGTGGGACAAAGTCACCAAGTAAACAATCACAAAAAACACCCAAGAAGAAGCATCCCTAGGAAATGTCAACACTTTTGTTGAGCATAAAATAACTTTTTGGAGACCCTCTCTCCGACACTCACTGCCTCACAGTTGGGTAACAGATGATGATTTACATAGCCCTACTCCTTCAGCACAAAGCAGATTTGGGGGGGGGGGAACTGTGAAGATTCACTTAGAATGTACTCTGTGTAATTGAGACCTAATCGACCCATGGTCCCTCTACATTTTTAGTCTTATGGAAGACAAAAGGTGACTGAGGGAAAGAACTGACACAAGGTATAAATGTGACTACTCCTCAGAGAGAAAGTTGAATCTAACAAGAAAATTGACCATAACTTAATTATTGTTCAATCAGGATTATCCAGTTGATTAAGAAATATTAAGTCTCAAAAGGACAACCTGCTCTATATGAATCTAACCAAAGTAATCTGTCTTGGGCCTCTGAGATATGTGATATCCCCTCCATTACACCCCCCATAAAGTGTCCCTTCTTAGGGAACTCATTTCTTATCTTGTGCTTTAAGGTTTGCAATGAATTGTGTCTCCAAAAAGCCCAGGAAGGTAACTCATACAGGTATTTATTACGTCTGTTTCATAGATGGAGAGACTGATGTCCCATTTCCCCAAATCACAAATCTAGTCAATATTGGACCTGGGACTGGTCTTTATGCTACCTGTAAGGCTCTTTCCACCAAATAGGAATAAACAAACATTAAGCTACCCAAAGCATCTATTTTCCTCCTTTTTTCTACTCAGGCCATTTCTTTTCTTGAAACTCAAATCCACCTGGATAACCCTCTTACCAAGATTTTTCTGATATCAATAGAAAACAATTTTTCGCCTGCTCAGTCCTCCATGAGTATTTTCTTTAGAATTATTCCTTGGAGGGCAACTAGGTGGCACAGTGGACAGAACACTGGCCCTGAAGTCAGGATGACCTGAGTTCAAATCCAGCCTCAGACCAAACACTTGACATTTACTAGCTGTGTGCCCTGGGCAAGTCACTTAACCCCAATTGCCTTAAAAAAAATGGAATTATTCCTTCGATTTGTATCCTCATTTATATTCTCTTTATGGTATTTAGTGTGGTATCACTCCTATGAGATGGAAAAGTTTTTTGAAGAATAGCACCATGTTCCAAATATCTATGTATTCCCCTATTCCCTACCTGGCACAATACTTTGCATAGAATAAGGGCTTAATAAATACATATTTCCTTCATTAAGTGAATTGTAAAAATCATATAGCTGCAGATTTTATGTTCTAATCAGACTGTAGATCCTCCTAGGATTGCTTCTAAATTTGTGGACTCTGACCTAGGTCTCCAGACACTAAACCTTATGCATTAGCTAGACATCATGAAACTTTCTGTTATTACATTCATCGGCTTGAGTCCATGATCTACTAGGAATTAGCCAGGGAGCCACCAGTCAGGGAATTGGGAGAAGCAGGGAGCTGAGGTTGGGAATAAGTTGGCTGTCTCCCTCTGCTCTTTCAGCCAGCCCAATTTATTTATCCATCTATGCTCAGTCCTCACTTCAATCATATGTTATCCACAAAGTATGTGATTATAAAGTGAGTTATACGTGAAAAATGGCCTTTCTTTCTTCAGTTACAACTCATGGGGTGTGTGTGTGTGTTGTGTGTGTGGTGTGTGTGTGTGTCTATTTCCAGCCCACCAAGGCAACTACCTTGAAGGAAGGCATGAACCTGAAATCCTGTACATAACCGCAACTGATTTCCTTTTCTTTCTCATGGAGTGTCTGTCTCCTGGGCTGAGGAGGTTGGAAAAGGCTTCATGAAAGTAGGATTGGAGGTGTGTTAACAGGATTTTACTGAACCAGTCTCTAACCTGAGAATGACAAAAGAGCAGGCCAGAGACAAAGTGCAATAATTAGGTACCCACTTAATCAATTAGTTTCATTATAAGGAACAGGTTTGCAAAATCGTGAATTCTCCTGATCCTAATTCCACCTTGCTGAAGTGAAGGCAGAGATTTTATACATAACTCACAATGGAAAGGGAGGGGGGAAGGTGGATTACAAATAATTGTTCCCTAGGGCCAGAGTGGTTTCCCACAGCCAACCCACAAATGGAAGACAATGCAACAATTCTGGAGTCCATTCCTTGGGGATCGTGACTTGGTGGGTCATAGGCCCAGAGTTCTGTGACAGGAACAGGTTCTACAATCTTTGATTCAATTCACTGAAGTTACACAGGCAGTGATTGTGAGCATTGTCAAAGTTGGATTGATCATTTCAAGTTGCATCGTGAGCTCTGACTCACAAGCTGGAATAGGCAATTGCTGAGAATTCTAAATTATTAGTTTTTATTACCCATATTATATCGATTAATATGAAAATGATAATTCCCTTCACAGGAATATCAAGGAGGGAAATTAAACCAATAGTCTCCATTCCAAGTCAGAACAAGATCAAGAAGCAAAAAAACATACATAGCAAGGCACCTGGTATGATCCTGTTAGGCTCTGGAAACTCGAGAGCCTCACATGGGTTCTCATTCATTTCCTTGTCCAAGGTTTTGTTTGTTTGTTTTTTGGCCTAGGCAGTGGGGTTAAGTGACATGCCCAGGGTCACAGAGCTAGTGTGTCATGTGTCTGAGGCCAGATTTGAACTCAGGTCCTCCTGAATTCAGGGCTGGTGCTCTAAGCCACCTAGCTGCCCCACCTTGTCCAAGTTTTGCTGAACAGCCATTACATGGTGGTCTCCTCCACAGGCTTGGTAGGTGATGTCAGAAAGGGACAGGGCATATACAGATATAAGATTTCTGGTCCTGTTTCCTAGGACCAGGTACTACATGTAGAAAACACTGATTGTAAAGGGCTTAGCCTGGGTATTATGGACTGAATCACTTGGAAGACTATACGGTTTGTGTGACTGTGTGGAGGAGATGTTACATACTTATTTGGCAGGTGTGGTTCCGTGACCATGAAGATAGGTATGTTCTTAATGGGCTAATTCCTGTGATTTTTTTAATGTAAAGATATATATATATATATATATATATATATATATATATATATATACACACATAGGCACGTCATATATTAGTGAAATACTTGGTTTCAAAGGTAAAGTTTCTAGTGTGTTTTAGAATTGCTTGATATCTGGAAGATGTCATTTTGTCTTTGATTTGACTACCTGGTGAAATTTGGTACAGATTGGTAAGTAGGAGCATGGTAACCCCTGGGTAAGTTATCTAGTTGACTTTAGTTTTTAGGTAGGCCTTTTTTTTTTATTATAACAAAAATTTAATTTTCTCAACCTACCAACTTGCCACTCTGCCCCACCCAGAAAGCAAAAAGCTGTTTTTAACAAGTATGTTTAATCCAGCAAAACAATTTCTCTTAACTGGCCATGTCCTAAAAAATACATCTCATTTAAAACCATGGGTATTTTACCTCTTTGTCAGAAGGCGGGAAGTTATTGTTAGTCCTCTGGAATCCCGGTTAGTCTCTCTGTTGACCAGATTCTTTTGTGTGTTGGTTTTTGATGGTGAGGCATTGGGGTTAAGTGACTTGCCCAGGGACACACAGCTAATAAGTGTCAAGTGCCTGAGGCTTGCTTGAACCAAATCCTCCTGACTCCAAGGCTGGAGCTCTAGCCATCTAGTTGCCCCTTGTTGTTATTGATTCATAGGCATAAGAAAGATTAATCAGTGAGTAAATAGTTCTTGCCACTGCTGCTTGTTTTGTAGGGCAGGTAGGTGACAAGAGTGTTGGGCCTGGCATCAGGAAAGACATCTCTCCCAGTTCAAATCTGGCCTCAGACACTTATTGGTGCATGACACTGGGTGAGTCATTTAACCCTGTTTGCCTCGGTTGCCCAATCTGCATAGTGAATTGGACAAGGAAAAGGCAAACCATTCTAGTATCTTTGCCAAGAAAACCCGAAATGGAGTCACCAGGATTTGTTGAGTAGCGGTGTATGCTTAAGCCCACAAGTTCCTCTTACTGTGGTGACCGTCTGCATCCACATCTTACGTCGCAGGTAGAACGACGACGTCGTTTTGAACGATAACTGTGTTCTAGAAAAAAACTTCAACTGAACACGGAACACAACTACGTAAGTAAAGCAGGCACAATTTCCATGTCCCCAGTTATTCATAGTCGCACACGTTCGTGCAACTCTCCGCGAGTAAGCCGACGAATATCGCGGCTCGCTACACGAAACGGAACTCTTCCGCGAAACACCCCCCCAGCCCACCGAGATGATATTACTACGCCCGCACACCCTCATACCTACGTCTTGCAGACGGTTACTCTGCAGAGCCCCCGAGGTCTGTTTTTCGTGAACACCATTTTCCTCCCAGTGGGAGGTGCACCGTTCCCGGAAGTACTGCAATACCGGGTCGATGCGTGGAGTGGACGGAGCAAGCTCCTATTCCATCTCCCTGCTCCAAAAATCCATTTAATATATTGTCCTCGGATAGAGGACGTATCAGATATTAAACTGATAAGAAAGATACTACACTTGATCTTAGCCAAAAGGCCGAGAAGCGATAAAAAACCCCTCACACTCCCCTACCCTTCGCAACAACACCATTTTACGCACGCGGCGACTAACGAACACCTTTTCCAAGCCTCGCCCTCCTTCCGCACCTCCCACGCCCCAACCCGAAGCTCAGTCTCCCGCTCTGCCCCTCTATGCAACCAGACGGCCGCCTAAAACACGCCATAGAGCGGATCTTTACCAAATTTTAGCACTTTCTTCGCGCGAGAAGCCCCTTGCCTGGCACCCAGAACACCTTGCCTACTCGGCAACCCTATATTTGCATAGCCCTCCCACTTATGCACAGAGCCGACCAATGGCTGCCCTGCGGGGCTGCGAAGGCGCAGAGAATGCACTCCGAGCCCGGAAATGTCTTGGACGCGCCTAGGACCCCCTTCCCTTCGCTCTCCTCTTCCCCGGGCCTACTGGCTGCGGAGAAACGCGCTTCGTAGGAAGTGGAACCAATCGGGCTGCCTGTCCGTTTTCGTGGGGAACTTCACAGACGCTGTCGGTTACTGGCTGCCGGAGTGCCCCACTGCCTTGTCAGAGCCCTGAGCAATAGAGCAGGGTGGAAAAGAAAGATGGCATTTTTTTTACATGATAATTTTGTTGTATATTTGAAAGGAATAGCAAGTTGTGCATAGTAGATTTTCAGTTTCATATACAATCAATCATCTTTTTTATTGTGCTATTATGGAAATGCTTGTTCAATTTCATAAGTTAAAGATAGATTTTTTTTTTACAAAGAAGGAAACACTTTAATTGTAATCTTCAAAAAGATATTTTCTTCTTCTTTTATATTTGTGAATCATATCTCCTCAAAACTGAAAGCTTCTTGAGGGCAGGGACTTTCTTTAAAAGTGTTTTTTTCACTAATTTTTTTTAATATAAATTTATTTATTTTTAGTTTTCAACGTTCACTTCCACAAGTTTTTGAGTTCCAAATTTGTCACCCCTCCCCCCACCCCAAGATGGCATGCATTCTGAATACCCCTTCTAGTCTGCCATCTCTTCTATCTCTCCCCCCTCCCTTCTCTTATCCCCTTCCTCTTCTGTTTTTCTGTAGAGCAGGATAGACTTCTGTACCCCATTTCCTGTATTTCTTATTTCCCAGTTGCATGTGAAAATATTTTTTTTAAAACATGTGTTTTTAAAACTGAGTTCCAGATTTTGTCCCTTCCTCCCTCCCCACCCACCCTCATTGAAAAGGCAAAGCAACTCAATATAGGTTGTACATGTGCAGTTATGCAAAACAAGACCATAGTAGACAGGTTGTGATAAACTAACTCTATTTCCCTTAATCCTATCCTGCCCTCCCATTTATTCTGTTCTTTCTTTTGACCCTGTCCCTCCTCAGAAGTATTTGCTTCTGATTACCCTCTTTTCCAATCTGCCCTCATCTCTATCATACCCCTGCTCTCTTGTCCCTTTCTCCCCCTATTTTCCTGCAGGGTAAGACAGAATTCCATACCCAATTGAATGTGTATGTTATTCTCTCCTTAAGCCAAATCCTATGAGAATAAGATTCCCATTCCTCTCACCTTCCCCTGTTTCCCTCCACTGTGAAGACTTTTCTTTTCTGTTTTTTTTTGTGAGATAATTTACCCCATTCTACTCTCCCTTTCTTCTCCAAGTATCATCCTCTCTCATCCCTTAATTTTATTCTCCAGATATGACCCCTTAATCTTCAACTCACCCTGTGCCCTCTATCTACATATATATGTGTGTGTATATATATACACACATACATATAATTTTTTCCTTTCAACTACCCTAATACCGACAAAGTTCTCATGAGTTACAAATATCATCTTTCCATGCAGGAATGTAAACAGTTCAATCTTAATAAGTCTCTTATGATTTCTCTTTCCCGTTTACCTCTTCATGTTCCACTGGAGTCCTGTATTTGAAAGTCAAATTTTCTGTTTAGCTCTGGTCTTTTCATCAGGAATGCTTGAAAGTCCTCTATTTCACTGAATGACCATTTTTTCCCCTGAAGGATTATACTCAGTTTTGCTGGGTAGGTGATTCTTGGTTGTAATCCTATCTCCTTTGCCCTGCAGTCCTTTAATATAGAAGCTGCTAAATCTTGTGTTATCCTGATTGTGTTTCCATAGTACTTGAACTGTTTCCTTCTGGCAGCTTGTAATATTTTTTCCTTGACCTGGGAACTCTGGAATTTGGCTACAATATTCCTAGGAGTTTTCCTTTGGGGATCTCTTTCTTTCTTTCTTTCTTTCTTTTTTTTTGGGGGGGGATCTCTTTCAGGAGGAGATCTGTAGATTCTTTCAATTTCCATTTTGCCCTCTGGTTCTACTATATCAGGGCAGTTTTCCTTGATAAATTTCTTGAAAGATGATGTCTAGGCTCTTTTTTTGATCATGGCTTTCAGATAGTCCAATAAGTTTTAAATTCTCTCTCCTGGATCTATTTTCCAGGTCAGTTGTTTTTCCAGTGAGATATTTCACATTGTTTTCTAATTTTTCATTCTTTTGGATTTGTTTCACAGTGTCTTGATTTCTCATAAAGTCAGTAGCTTCCAATTGCTCTATCCTAATTTTTAAGGAAGTATTTTCTTCAGTAAGCTTTTGGACTTCCTTTTCCATTTGGCCAATTTTTCTTTTTAGGGCATTTTCCTCCTCATTGGCTTTTTGGACCTCTTTTGCCATTTGGGTTAGGCTATTTTTTAAGGTGTTATTTTCTTCAGTATTTTTTGGGGTCTCCTTTAGCAAGCTGTTGACTTGTTTTTCATGATTTTCTTGGATCACTCTCATTTCTCTTCCCAGTTTTTCCTCTACTTCCCTTACTTGCTTCTCAAAATCCCTTTTGAGCTCTTCCAAGGCCTGCGACTGATTCATATTTTTCTTGGAGGCTTTGCATGTAGGAGCTTTGACTTTGTTGTCTTCTTCTGGTTGTGTGCTTTGATCTTCTTTTTCACCAAAGTAAGATAATATAGTGTGACTCTTTTTGTGCTGCTTGCTCATGATCCTGGCCAATTACTTGAATTTTAAACTCCTTGTTAAGGTAACAGTCTGCTTCCAATGTGGAGAGTGTATTGTCCCAAGCTTCGGGGTTTGTACAGTTGTTTTCAGAGATACTTGTAGGGACCTTAAATTTTCAGTTCTTCCAAGGTGGTATGATAAGGGGTGAGGTGTTTACTCCTTTCCTGGCCTGTGACCACAAGTACTCCTTTCTGTCCTGTAACTGTGAGGAGGGGCTCCTCTCCACAATCACTACAAGCTCCACCAAGCCAGTGCTCCTCCCCACCCCAGCACCGCTGCCCAGAACTGTGGCCCAGATCCACACATGGGCAAAGCAAGAGATTCCTGCCTCAGCACTGGCAGAGATCCCTGCAATCCCTCTCTGATCAGCCACTGGATTCCCCCTCAGTCTGTGGGCCGGAAGCTCGGGAACCAGCTGCCCCCCACAGGGCCACGCCTTGGGGAATGAAGCTGAGACCCCGCCTTCCTCTCTGACCACCGACAGAAACAGACTTTTCCCACTGACCTTCTAAGTTGTCTTTGGCATTGGTGGATTGAGGATACTGGAAACCTCCACAGCTGCCTGTGATTCAGTCCTCTGAGCTCCAGGTTTGCTGTGGCCTACGTGCCCACGCTGCGCTGCGCTGCGCTGCACTCCCAGCCTGGTGCCATACACCTTTCTCATCAATCATCCAGGTTGTCTTGGGCTGGAAATTTGTTTCACTCTGTCTTTTTGTGGGTTCTGCTGCTTCAGAATTTGTTTGGAGCCATTTTTTATGAGTATTTGGAGGGGTTTGGGGGAGAGCTCAAGCAAGTCACTGCTTTCACTCTGCCATCTTGGCTCCGCCCTCCGAAAGATGGCGTTTTCAACCTCATGGGATGCTCCTGGGCAGGAAGACAGGAGGATGGCATCAAGCTAGTCCATCTCCCTCTTCCCAAAACCCGTTTCACGGCTACTCCTCCCCTACTTGGCCTACCAGAGTTTCAGCTGATAACAACACACATAGACAGAATGGGTTCAGAAATGACTGGACACATCCCAGTCAAGTCTTAACCAAAAGTCTAGGATCAAAACACAAGGAAAATACACCAACTGCACACAGACCATCGATCCACATATCACAACTATCTGGGTAGCAAATCACCAATTCTAAAAAGTAAGTATTTTGGTCAAGTGTCAGCCACTGTGGCCAAATCATCTTTGTATACTAGGAGGACTTTTTGTACAAAATAACTTTGTTATTTTTCCATTCCTTAGTTCTGTCCTCATCGAGGTGCGTCCTGTCAGCTCCAGTGTTAAGTTTGAAAAGCTTCATAGAACATTGCCAGGAACTTGCATTGCTTCATAGAACACTGTATATAAATTAACAAGGAATGTGACTATTTTCATTATGACTGCTTGTTGGTAGGATCAAAAATTGTGGCTGTAGTGCATTCCAAGGAGTCTGATCTCTGACGTCCTGTACCCCAGGTTCTGCATTGCACTAGGTTGGGTGTGACTCAGGCCAGGTTGCTGGTAGTTTCTCTTGGATTTAAGGTTAAAAGGGAACACTTGCCGGTCATCCCATAGTTCAGAAAAGCAGATTGACTTAGTGATCCCAGGAGGACAGTTCCATGAGGACACACTTTGAGGACACCCCGAGTTGATTCAGAACAAAGCTCTCCTGACTGAATTGTTCATCGAGATCCTCTGGACAAGCGTTAATGTGCACCTCTTGGCTATTCTGTACTCAGGACGCCCAGAAATTATATCAATAGTCTAACTCTAGCCCTTGGAGAAAATCAAGACAAGAGGATATGTTCAGCATCTTATAAGAAAAACCAGCCTAACTTACATGGGGGCAGAGGGAGGTTGGAAGGACAGTGGTGGCAGGAACAAGGTTAGGAGATTATATCCATCACACACAATTTCATAACATTTGCAAGAACAGGTTTGCTTTTTATGATTTTATAAGTGGAATTCTCAACTATCTTCTGTAAACAG